ATAACTCTGCTATTTTAAGACAATATGTAGGCCACATGAACAGGAAGATTGTGTTGCTGTTGATTCTCAGCATCATGGCAGATTGTGTATGTGCACTATGACTGCATACCTTCAGTGTACTACATATGGGGAACTTGCTGGGGTAGTGACTCTGACGACTGCATGGACAGTGCTTGAATGACTGTTACTGGTCATGTTATGAAATTTTGTGAAGTAAAATAAAAATGTATCAAATCTGGAATAAATTTGTTATATGAAAATGGTATTCTATTTCATGAATACCTATTTCATATTGAGCAGCAACTTTGTTTCCTTAAATCAAGCCCTGTATGATAATACACATATAAGTTTAAAATATATTTCATTTTGTTGCCAGGTTTGACAGTAAGGATGCAGTGTCTAACGTGAACAATGCCAAATCGTCAGTACAGAAAGGTATCCGCAATGCAGTACTAGAGCAGTTCCCACACATCAAATCCTACGTTGATGAGATTTTGCCCAAAAAGGAGCCTCTTAAAGTTGTCAAATGGTAAGATTTCTTCCTATGTTCACTGAACAAGAGACAGAGATCATGAACATTTTGGGTGATGTTTTTATGTTTGTTTCTGTTTGCAAGTCTGTTCACATGGTCAATAATATATTGTTTATTTACAGTCATGAACATATAGAAATTCTAGCCAATCAGACAGGTGACTTACTGTTCTTCCGACAAAGAGATGGCCCGTACTGTCCGACACTCAGGCTCATTCACAAGTGTAAGTATTGTTGTGTACTTTTCCCCCTGCTAGTGCTGAAGTAGTCCTTTGTGCTCAGATGCTTGTCATAAGGGGCAACTGAAATGGGGGCTGGTTTGTGTCACGGTTTTAATGGATCATTTTTGCTCCCAGTGTTTGCAACTGTTTGTGCCTCAGTTAATGACTTATCTTCTTGTCAGAAGAGCGTGGAAAGGTCATGGTTAAATTAATCTTCCGCTACCCAGGGTATGAAACTCCAAAAAATTTCAGCCAGACCACAGGGCTGGTTAGATGTAAACTTACCTGCCCACAAAAAAATACTAATATACATGTCTAAATTTTAACCCGACCGTCGGGCAGGTGAATTTGAAATCGGGCAGTCCGTGTATCTGGTCCAGACTCGATTATTTACAGACCGCCATCATATAGCTGGAATATTGCTCCAAGAGTTACATCAGTGTCAAACAACTGGTCACAAACAATGCCTCTGGTTCAGGATCTTGTCACGTGATGTAGCTGTACGATTGTGCCTGTGCCTTAAATCAATATGACCTAACTTTCTCACAAGGTGTTGTTTGCTAGGGAAATGTAGCTGTAGCCTATGTATAATATAGTAACATATCTTTTCATAGTTAATGATATAATACTGGAAATAATCTCAGTGTAATTTCAAACATGACAGTCTGAAACAAACTCGAGGTCTGACCCTATTATCATTCTATTCAATCTGGGAAGTTAATCTGTAGCATCAAAATCTACAGAAAATAGCCCTACACTAATGGTCATTGTTTGACTGACTGACTGAGTTTAGTTTTACAACGCTTTTTGCAATATTCCAGCAACATCACGGCGGTGAACACCTGAAATGGGCTTCACACATTGTACCCATGTGGGGATTTGAACGCGGGTCTTCGACGTGACAAGCCAACGCTTTAACCACTAGGCTACCCCACCGCCCGGTCATTGTTTGAAGTGGGTAAGTCTAGTTAATATTACAGTTATTACAGTTGATCTTGTTTCCATGCCAACAGACCCGTTCCTGCTTCCCCTCATGCAAGTGGACAAGGGTGCCATTCGCTTCGTGCTAAGCGGTGCCAACATCATGTGTCCTGGGCTGACGTCGCCGGGTGCCAGGATGACGAGAGTAGACAAAGATTCCGTTGTTGTATCCTTCCAGAACTGCCTTGTTCGCACACAGGTGCTCCAGTTTAAATACACAAGACTACCATTAATAAGTGATTACATGCAAGGTCTATCAAAGTCATGAAAACCATACAGGCAATCAACACACAGGTCAGGCTACACTTGCATAGTACGATTATAACTCCCATATTAGGGCTGGGACGGGTAACCCGGATACCTGTGACGGGTGGGTAATGAGTTGGACCTGAGTACCTGTCTCAATACCCGGACCCGTTATGATCATGTGACTAATAGATTAAACAATGTAGTGTGTTATTCTTTCATGATTAAAAGGTTGTATTGACTTTGAAGATTTAGACATAATTTACAGTCATCTGTCTTCAATATAATACATGGATAAGATATTGAAAAACTCAAAATTTTAGCCTCTCGAGCTGAAGAGTATATTGCTATTTCTTACAAATTTGGTGTCAGGAATTAACAAACGGGTATCAGGGTAGGGTAGGGTAGGGTAGAGTAATAGTGGGTGGAGTATCGGGTTAGAAAATTTGGACCCATCTCAGCCCAATCCCATACTAGAACATAGAGTTATCATAGTTCTAGCACCAACATCATTCTGTGCAAGTGTATCCGAAATATTGCGGTGCTCAAGAAGTCCCATATAGCAAACACTTACTCCATTTTGGGGGAATGATGGTGTTGTGACACGTCAGGAGTTGATACATTATATATTATGTTCAGAGTCTGTTTTATTTATTATATTGACTGAGGAATGATGGAAAAACTAAATATGCCAATGTGTATGCTTATTTGGGGTCAGAAGTATTTAGTGTTTGAATAAACCAGGCCCCGATTTCTCGAAACAAACTTAAGTCTGAGTTTTGACGTAAGTTAAAGTTTTTACTCAAATTTGAGAAAATGCATTTCCTAGAATAAACTGAAATTGATATTAAACTCATAGTAGACAATTTGAGTTTGGTGGACAGATTACTTAAGTTGTTAGGGCTTTTTTTATTTTAAAAATGCAGTTGAGTTAAAAATTCAGCTGTTTCAAATTGTCAAACTCAGTTTGAAATTTGAGTAAAAACTTAAGTTTGTTTCGAGAAATCGGGGCCAGGAATTGTCCATGCTCAATGGTAGTCTAGTTTTTGTGGCACATGTATTTTTTAGTGTATATTGTTGGTGTACTTTGCATTTAATATAAAGTATTTAAAATATCAAACACACATTCCATGTTGTATATCTTGCTGTCATAGACTCCAAAGGAGTTCAAGTAAAAATCACTTAGAAAAAAATTCATAAATACTCCATTCTAGTGACTGAGAATAATGAGTTACATTCTTGAGATTTTCAGTTTGATCCACCATATATGTGAATCATAACAACCACAGTAGTTGGTATTCTAGCAGTAAAAGCATTCACCCGAAACCCAGGTTCCATTCCAAGCACCGTACAATATTGCTACAAGCAGTTGTATAGCATGCTCTCACTCAGTCACACTGTTTCTAGACTAAGATCTGTTGCTGTAGACATCAGGTGAGACAGGTAGAGCTCACCTTCATGCTCATCAGCATCATCTGATTACTGATTATTTCCAAATGTGTGTTCAATTCTCCTTAGCTTCTACAGGCAATCATGGCCGAGGGAAAGGACCATGCACTAGCCATTGGTCTCACAAAGATGTCCACAGATGAAATGTAAGTGAGCACAGGACTAATGGCTACTGTTAATGATGTTGTGTGATGTAGAATGTTTCTGCTCACGTGAGTTTACAACCTAGGAGGCCTGCTTCCCGTTCATGTGAGGATTCCAGGGTAGAATAGTTTCCCAGCAACCTGAGACCTAACGGGCACTGGGCCCCTGATGTTTAAGATGCTACTTTTCGATTTGCAGAATCACATCTTTTTGAATCTGTGATTGTTGCTTGTAATCTCAGATTTCCTCTGATGTTTCTGACCCATGAAGATCCGTGTTAGAATTGATCTTCAGCAACCCATGCTTGTTGTAAAGAGGCAACTAATGGGGTCAGGTGGTCAGACTCGCTGACTCAGTTGATACGTCATCGTTTCCCAATGGCATAGATTGATGCTCATGACGTTGATCACTGGATTGTCTGGTCCAGACTCGATTATTTACAGACTGCCATCATCTAGCTGGAATATTGCTGAGTGCAGCGTCAAACAACCAACCAACCAAATCTGATGGTTTCTAGGTTTGGCAATACCATTGCATTCAGGCGGATTCAAAACAGCATTTACCCTCACTCGTTCTCTCACTCATTCTGTCACTTAGCCACTCTTGCTTTTGTACCTGTCTCTTTGTAATGACGTCGTTCTCTCACTCATTCTCTCACTTAACCACTCTTGCTTTTGTACCTCTCTCTTTGTAATGACAAATTCTTCTGGATACCTTCTTTTGTTTTGTAAGTTATTTCTTTATTTACTTCCCCACCTCTAAAATGCCATTTAAAGAAGCTATCTGTGTATTTCAGATTACAAAAGAACAAAGGTATTGGAGTGGACAACATTCACTTTTTGAACGACGGTCTATGGAATATGAAAAGTGTAAAGTGACCTTTAATCAAATGCTAGATTGTTTTCTTTCAATGTCTCCTTTATTTTCTGTATTTAACAACTGAAAATAAATATGTGCCAGTAACAGAGTCTCACTGTATCATATTTATGGAAGTGTGAATCATCCGACTGTTCCATGCTTCTTTGTGGTAGACATCTTGTTCTGGCACATCCAGCAAACACCAGCACCATCACTGGACCATGTAGGGAACCATGTGGGAACCACCTGGCAACTTCGGCAAGGTAGAAATGCAACACTGCCACAAATCAGTGTTTTATGAAATACATGATAATTTGTCAATAAGATGTGCTTTGAGAATGCAGTATTCATAAAGCACAATATATAGGACAATGGGAATAAAGTCCCAAATTAATAATTATTCGATGTTATTTGGTTTTGTTCGAGTATTTTCTGATCATGTTTTGGTAAAAGCGGACATTTTTAAGATCTGCCATTGTTTGTGGTGGTTTAAAGACAGAGTACAAGTCTTACAATCACATCCCTTGGAGAGCTGCTGGGTTTAGCTGTAAGAAGAAACATGATCGCACAAAAGATAAAAAAAAGTTTATTTCATAACAATAATCGGACGGAATATACAGTATTGCATTCATAGAGGGTGAACTTGTCACAAGGCATAGAAACATTTTAGTATAAATCATTTAATATAAAGCATGACAGATCTGCCATAATGTTTTGGTTGTCCATTCTTTGCCGAATTCATTCCATCACCACTTTGTTTATCTGCTTACTGTATGATGATTATCACTATAACAGCAACACATGATGCTTATTACATCTATAGACCAACACTGATAATGGGATTCGTTTTTTAGGAACGGGGCCAGGAATGTGGATAAAGTATCCTTCTTGGAATTTTATAATAGAGTGAAATTACTTTCTGATATTTGCAGATGCAATACAACCAGTTCTCAAAACTGACTGGGCAGATGAATCAATTTTCAAGTTTAAACTCATGCATTATTCATAATTTCAAAATATTAAGGCAAGGTCATCAGAACAAGGATGCCTTCAGTGAAGTGTACTTGTAGGATAATATTTTCTCAGCATCCATTTTCCTCCTTCAATTGAGAATACTGTACCTAGATTATATTCATAACTCAGAATCGCATATCATTCCTTATAGGTATTCTCTAATTCATCATATTTGTCACACTATTCTAGTATAAAGAACTTATTCCAATGCGAAACATATATCCATAAACTTGAAAATAGAAACTTAGTTAGATCGATGTGTAAATTTCGTATATCTCTTCATGATTTCAGGGTAAATCAACAACGTAAAAAGAAAGTCAATGATATAGAATCTATTTGTTTGCACTGTGATATGAATGTTGTAGAAAATGAATACCATGTTTTCTTTATCTGTAATAGATATTTTCTACTCCGTAATGAATACTTCTTGTCCATCAAAAAATATTGTAAAATTAGATTAACTTTGCAACAAATATTAAACACACATGATGTAAATATATTACGTTTAACATCTATATATCTGCTAAAAATATTTAGCTTAAGATCTTCTTAATGTAATTTTGGTCATGTGACAACGATTGTATATCTTGCAACACAATTGTACTATGGGCCATGTGGCCTAAAATACGGAATAAAATTTGTAGAGTAGGTATTCTCTAATTGTTCATATGCTACCATCCATAAAGAATGTATGGTTCATCCGTCCTATTGAATATATGTGTTCCACATTCAGATTGTCACACAAATGCTGCAATGGTACATATATAATTTTGATTGTAAAATATATATTATTTGAAATGTGAGTATTAAAATAATCATACATATTCAGAACAATATGCTTAAAATTTTTATTTCATCAGAATGTGGTGAAATACTGATACTGTCACTAAATGAAATTGATTGCAACTGACAACCGCCAGCGGCTGTAAGAGTCGGTTCAGAACATGATGCTCTGCTGGAATCCCATAAATACAAACAGGAAAAGGTTGTTGGAATTACGACTCTTCAAATAATATATATGGATGAGTTAACAATAATAAGATATAGCCACAAAACAAAATTTTCTCGAATCACATGTTAATGCAACAAATTCTCATTTCATACACTGCCACCCATGTCACAATTTGACTTGTTTATATTAGAATTATTATGGCTCACAACAAAAACACTGTATATCTAATATTTAGAAAAACAATTGTCTTAAAAGGGTTATAATTCCTCAGAAACAAAAATCCAAAGCAATTAAATGGTTTGTTTATGTGTTGAAAATTGAAAAATTATATGCATGATGGGTGAGTTTTCAGAAGATGTTGACACCAAAATACGCCCAAGGTGGCTTCAAAGTTACAAAATACTGAGAAAAGTTTTGAAAAAGTCATGATAGCAGTATCATCCATGATACAAAGCTTGGTGCAAAATTTAAGTTTGAATGTTTTAGTTTTAAGTAAACCTGTTTAAAATAGAAGAGGAAGACTAGATATACAATTGGGTGACTAATCTGTTCAATATCACAGACTGTAAATGTTGGTAAAGTAAATTTTAAATATACAATAAATGCATAAATATTGGTATCTTCTCCCAACACCATTTTGATATTCATTGTGCAAAGATTCATATGAAACTATGACGAAATAAATAAAAACAAAAAACCCATCCCACAAACATGTTCATGTTAATTTAAGTTGAAAATACAAACACCATCATCCAGTGTTGTGAAAATATTAACTCTAAACTGAAATGACATCCCACTGGTGTGCTCTGGATACTTTTCTCAAGCATTTTTTACCACAGTTACATTTGTTAAAGATAAATTAAACCAGAGACTGCATTGTACATATAAATAGGTTAAATTTTTACATCATTGTGATAAAAACATTAAACCCACATTTAATACCAAAAGCAACCGCGCATATTTTACTTAAATATTTGAAAATAAATAATGATGTGAATTATAAGTAATACTTCAATGCAATGCTCTCATCAGAGTTGTAGAAATGTAATAATAATATAAAAAATCATTTGCTTAAAAGAGGGAATGTTTGATTTTCATCGCATAATACTTGGAGTCAAATTCATGGATCTGGGATTCTGTGTCTAGAGCATGACATCCGAGGGGGGGATTCTGCCTCCGGACTTGGTCACAGCATCCTTGAGTTCCCCGATATCTGGAACAAAAGACACAAACCACATGTTAACTACCTGTAACATCAGACACACTACCTCCTGTGCCATCAGACACACTACCTCCTGTACCATCAGACACACTACCTCCTGTACCATCAGACACACTACCTCCTGTAACATCAGACACACTACCTCCTGTACCATCAGACACCCTACCTCCTGTAACATCAGACACACTACCTCCTGTAACATCAGACACACTACCTCCTGTAACATCAGACACACTACCTCCTGTACCATCAGACACCCTACCTCCTGTAACATCAGACACACTACCTCCTGTAACATCAGACACACTACCTCCTGTACCATCAGACACACTACCTCCTGTGACATCAGACTCTTTACCTCCTGTGACATCAGACACACTACCTCCTGTGACATCAGACACCCTACCTCCTCTAACATCAGACACACCACCTCCTGTAACATCAGACACCCTACCTCCTGTAACATCAGACACACCACCTGTAACATCAGACACACCATCTCCTGTACCATCAGACACACTACCTCCTGTACCATCAGACACAGACACACTACCTCCTGTACCATCAGACACACTACCTCCTATAACATCAGACACACTACCTCCTGTACCATCAGACACACTACCTTCTGTACCATCAGACACACTACCTCCTGTACCATCAGACACACTACCTCCTATAACATCAGACACACTACCTCCTGTACCATCAGACACACTACGTCCTGAAACATCAGACACACTACCTCCTGTAACATCAGACACACAACTGGTCACTACCTGAAACATCACACCACTGTTGTGAGCTTAGTGTTTTTATGACAGTAACTACGATATTCCAGGTAGGAATGACTTACACTGTCCGAGATCCTGGTTCTCTGCGACAAGCTAAAGTGTTTTTACAACATCAACTACGGTAGGACAGGTAGGTATGACTTACACAGTCGGAGGTCCTGGTTCTCTGTGACGAGCTCTGTGTTGCGGCTGGAGAGGAAGACAGCATCCTGGATGGCATCCTCCAACAGCACACGGTACCGCTGATCAATCACAGCCTTCTGCTCCTCAAACATCTCCCGGTACTGGCGGAAAGACTGGGGAACAAAAAACAAAATGTCAGATAATGAATTTTTTTATGATATATAGGAAAATGAGGAATGGATTTCTCTGCCAAAAAAAAGCCACCGGTCTTAACATTACTGTTTTGAAAGTGCCACCACCCAGTGGTTCTAACTGGGACACTGCCACCTAGTCATACGCGCTGGAAGTGCTACCACCTAGTGGTACTCAGTGAAAGTGCTGCCACCTAGTGGAGTGGAACTTCCTGGAAGTTCTGCCACTTAGTGGTGAGGAACTACCTGGAAGTGCTGCCATCTAGTGGTGAGGAACTACCTGGAAGTGCTGCCATCTAGTGGTGAGGAACTACCTGGAAGTGCTGCCATCTAGTGGTGAGGAACTACCTGGAAGTGCTGCCATCTAGTGGTGAGGAACTACCTGGAAGTGCTGCCACCTAGTGGTGAGGAACTACCTGGAAGTGCTGCCACCTAGTGGTGTGGAACTACCTGGAAGTGCTGCCACCTGGTGGTGAGGAACTACCTGGAAGTGCTGCCACCTTGTGGTGAGGAACTACCTGGAAGTGCTGCCACCTGGTGGTGAGGAACTACCTGGAAGTGCTGCCACCTGGTGGTGAGGAACTACCTGGAAGTGCTGCCACCTAGTGGTGAGGAATTACCTGGAAGTGCTGCAACCTAGTGGTGAGGAACTACCTGGAAGTGCTGCCATCTAGTGGTGAGGAACTACCTGGAAGTGCTGCCACCTAGTATTGAGGAACTACCTGGAAGTGCTGCCACCTTGTGGTGAGGAACTACCTGGAAGTGCTGCCACCTTGTGGTGAGGAACTCCCTGGAAGTGCGGCCACCTAGTGGTGAGGAACTACCTGGAAGTGCTGCCACCTGGTGGTGAGGAACTACCTGGAAGTGCTGCCACCTAGTGGTGAGGAACTACCTGGAAGTGATGCCACCTAGTGGTGAGGAACTAGCTGGAAGTGCTGCCACCTAGTGGTGAGGAACTACCTGGAAGTGCTGCCACCTGGTGGTGAGGAACTACCTGGAAGTGCTGCCACCTGGTGGTGAGGAACTACCTGGAAGTGCTGCCAACTGGTGGTGAGGAACTACCTGAGAGTGCCGCCACCTAGTGGTGTGGAACTTCCTGGAAGTGCTGCCACCTAGTGGTGAGGAACTACCTGGAAGTGCTGCCATCTAGTGGTGAGGAACTACTGCCACCTTGTGGTGAGGAACTACCTGGAAGTGCTGCCACCTAGAGGTGAGGAACGACCTGGAAGTGCTGCCACCTAGTGGTGAGGAACTAGCTGGAAGTGCTGCCACCTAGTGGTGAGGAACTACCTGGAAGTGCTGCCACCTAGTGGTGAGGAACTACCTGGAAGTGCTGCCACCTGGTGGTGAGGAACTACCTGGAAGTGCTGCCACCTAGTGGTGAGGAACTACCTGGAAGTGCTGCCACCTTGTGGTGAGGAACTACCTGGAAGTGCGGCCACCTAGTGGTGAGGAACTACCTGGAAGTGCTGCCACCTTGTGGTGAGGAACTACCTGGAAGTCTTGCTGCCACTTGGTGGTGAGGAACTACCTGGAAGTGCTGCCACCTTGTGGTGAGGAACTACCTGGAAGTGCTGCCACCTGGTGGTGAGGAACTACCTGGAAGTGCTGCCACCTAGTGGTGAGGAACTACCTGGAAGTGCTGCCACCTGGTGGTGAGGAACTACCTGGAAGTGCTGCCACCTTGTGGTGAGGAACTACCTGGAAGTGCTGCCATCTAGTGGTGAGGAACTACCTGGAAGTGCTGCCACCTGGTGGTGAGGAACTAGCTGGAAGTGCTGCCATCTAGTGGTGAGGAACTACCTGGAAGTGCTGCCACCTGGTGGTGAGGAACTACCTGGAAGTGCTGCCACCTAGTGGTGTGGAACTACCTGGAAGTGCTGCCACCTGGTGGTGAGGAACTACCTGGAAGTGCTGCCACCTGGTGGTGAGGAACTACCTGGAAGTGCTGCCACCTGGTGGTGAGGAACTACCTGGAAGTGCTGCCACCTAGTGGTGAGGAACTACCTGGAAGTGCGGCCACCTAGTGGTGAGGAACTACCTGGAAGTGCTGCCACCTTGTGGTGAGGAACTACCTGGAAGTGCTGCCACTTGGTGGTGAGGAACTACCTGGAAGTGCTGCCACCTTGTGGTGAGGAACTACCTGGAAGTGCTGCCACCTGGTGGTGAGGAACTAGCTGGAAGTGCTGCCACCTAGTGGTGAGGAACTACCTGGAAGTGCTGCCACCTGGTGGTGAGGAACTAGCTGGAAGTGCTGCCACCTAGTGGTGTGGAACTACCTGGAAGTGCTGCCACCTGGTGGTGAGGAACTACCTGGAAGTGCTGCCATCTAGTGGTGAGGAACTACCTGGAAGTGCTGCCACCTAGTGGTGAGGAACTACCTGGAAGTGCTGCCACCTTGTGGTGAGGAACTACCTGGAAGTGCTGCCACCTAGTGGTGAGGAACTACCTGGAAGTGCTGCCACCTAGTGGTGAGGAACTACCTGGAAGTGCTGCCACCTTGTGGTGAGGAACTAGCTGGAAGTGCTGCCACCTAGTATTGAGGAACTACCTGGAAGTGCTGCCACCTGGTGGTGAGGAACTACCTGGAAGTGCTGCCATCTAGTGGTGAGGAACTACCTGGAAGTGCTGCCACCTAGTGGTGAGGAACTACCTGGAAGTGCTGCCACCTTGTGGTGAGGAACTACCTGGAAGTGCTGCCACCTTGTGGTGAGGAACTACCTGGAAGTGCGGCCACCTAGTGGTGAGGAACTACCTGGGAAGTGCTGGAAGTGCTGCCACCTTGTGGTGAGGAACTACCTGGAAGTGCTGCCACCTAGTGGTGAGGAACTACCTGGAAGTGCTGCCACCTAGTGGTGAGGAACTACCTGGAGTTCGGCCACCTAGTGGTGAGGAACTACCTGGAAGTGCTGCCACCTGGTGGTGAGGAACTACCTGGAAGTGCTGCCACCTGGTGGTGAGGAACTACCTGGAAGTGCTGCCAGCCTAGTGGTGAGGAACTACCTGGAAGTGCTGCCACCTGGTGGTGAGGAACTACCTGGAAGTGCTGCCACCTGGTGGTGAGGAACTACCTGGAAGTGCTGCCACCTAGTGGTGAGGAACTACCTGGAAGTGCTGCCACCTGGTGGTGAGGAACTACCTGGAAGTGCGGCCACCTAGTGGTGAGGAACTACCTGGAAGTGCTGCCACCTAGTGGTGAGGAACTACCTGGAAGTGCTGCCACCTGGTGGTGAGGAACTACCTGGAAGTGCTGCCACCTGGTGGTGAGGAACTACCTGGAAGTGCTGCCACCTAGTGGTGAGGAACTACCTGGAAGTGCTGCCACCTGGTGGTGAGGAACTACCTGGAAGTGCGGCCACCTAGTGGTGAGGAACTACCTGGAAGTGCTGCAGCTGCTGGAGCTCCATCTCCTCCTTGTGCACACGATGAACCTCGCCCAGCTCCTTCTGCATGAAGTCCTTCTCCCTCTGGAGAGACTCCAGCTGTAACAGAAGCACACATGAAATGGAACTATGAATAATGGTCAGATTGATTGACAGAAACCAGGAGATTGGTTCTAATTTGATCATGTAAAAGGAGTACATAAAGGATCCCTTAAAATATCAAGAGCTAGTCGAACTAGAGACATTTGGGAAACCTTAGCTGTCCGAAATTTCACCAGCTCCTAGTCACAGATGGTTATCTTGCAAATTAACACCATCATGTTAATTATGTTTACAAAATAATAAAACCAACTTAAAAGAGGAATACATAGCCTACTTCTTCAGAAATTAGTCACTAAAGTTCAAGTCACTTCACCAAAGCCATAATAAATTGTTACCAAATGAATACCATTAACCAGGAATTATTATTCCTATATGGTAAATTTCTTTAACATTTCCTGCAGACCGAACAATGCCCTCGGAGTAGACCTATATAATCCAAGAACAGGCCATACATGTGCCTGTGACAATGTATACTGTGTAGACAATGCAGACCCAGTATGGGGGTACTCACCCTGGTGGTCATCACAGACTTCTCCTGTCTGAGCTGGGCCAGCTCCATGTCCAGGGCTGCAGCTTCCTGTTGCTGGTACTGCTTGCCTTCCGCCACACGCAGCTGCCCAAGATGGAAACACACATATTACTTTTGGTGACATAATTGTTGTATTCAAAATGTTAAAAACAATTTAGTCATTTTTATTTTTGTATTGTCATTAGACTTTCAATAACCACAGTGGCATCTTTCTCTCACCTGTACATCGGTATATTTTACCAACTGACAACCCTGTTGTCCACCCCACCCACCCTGTTGTATGTTCTGACAACCCTGTTGTTGTCCTCCCCACCCATCTGTTGTATGTTCTGACAACCATGTTGCCCACCCACCCACCCTGTTGTATGTTCTGACAACCCTGTTGCCCACCCACCCACCCTATTGTCTGTTTTGACAACCCTGTTGTCCACCCACCCACCCTGTTGTCTGTTCTGACAACCCTGTTGTCCACCCACCCACCCTGTTGTCTATTCTGACAACCCTGTTGTCCACCCACCCTCCCTGTTGTCTATTCTGACAACCCTGTTGTCCACCCACACACCCTGTTGTCTATTCTGACAACCCTGTTGTCCACCCACCCTCCCTGTTGTCTGTTCTGACAACCCTGTTGTCCATCCCACCCTCCCTGTTGTCTATTCTGACAACCCTGTTGTCCACCCACCCTCCCTGTTGTCTATTCTGACAGCCCTGTTGTCCACCCACCCTCCCTGTTGTCTATTCTGACAACCCTGTTGTCCACCCCACCCTCCCTGTTGTCTATTCTGACAACCCTGTTGTCCACCCCACCCACCCTGTTGTCTATTCTGACAACCCTGTGTTGTCCACCCACACTACCTGTTGTCTGTTCTCACAACCATGTTGTCCACCCCACCCACCCTGTTGTCTGTTCTGACAACCCTGTTGTCCACCCCACCCATCCTGTTGTCTGTTCTGACAACCCTGTTGTCCACCCCACCCACCCTGTTGTCTGTTCTGACAACCCTGTTGTCCACCCCACCCACCCTGTTGTCTATTCTGACAACCCTGTTGTCCACCCCACAAAGCCTATGGTCTGTTCTGACAACCCTTTTGTCCACCCCACACAGCCTATTGTCTATTCTGACAACCCTGTTGTCCACCCACCCACCCTGTTGTCTGTTCTGACAACCCTGTTGTCCACCCACCCTCCCTGTTGTCTATTCTCACAACCCTGTTGTCCACCCCACACAGCCTATTGTCTGTTCTGACAACCCTGTTGTCCACCACCCTCCCCTGTTGTCTATTCTGACAACCCTGTTGTCCACCCACCCACCCTGTTGTCTATTCTGAAAACCCTGTTGTCCACCCCACACAGCCTATTGTCTATTCAGACAACCCTGTTGTCCACCCCACACAACCTATTCTCTATTCTGACAACCCTGTTGTCCACCCCACCCAGCCTATTGTCTATTCCAACTACCCTGTTGTCTATTCCATCTACCCTGTTTTCCACCCCACTCATCCTGTTGTCTTTTCTACCCATCCTGTATCTACCCCACCAACCTTATTGTCTATTCTCTATACAATCCAATCCATCTCCATCCAATCCAGCTTTCCCATCGTTAACCCCATCCTGTGTCCACCCCACACCTGAAGCCCACCCTCACCTGTATATCCGTGTGGTCCTGCTGCACCTCCATCTTCACCCTCTCCAGCTCCTCCTCAAGGACAGCCTTGTGCTCCACCTCCAGCTTCGACAACTCCTCTTGCTGCAAATCATCAGCAACAACTCAATGTCCATCAGATACCCAATAGCAACACCATCTACACTCGTACATCTTTCTATGTGTAAATGATGTACTCAGAAATAGCAGAGAGACTGAAACTGCCTGAATTTATATCTTACTCACCGCTATCTTCTTCCGCAGTTCCAGGTTACCTTTCAGTGCTGTTGCCTGCATCTGGCTGCCCTGTGAACAGACATATGGTGTGTTTAAGTCAACCCAGTAACATCCAGATACGCCATTGACAGGACCACACACTGGTGGCAGAAGAATCATTAGGAGTCATGCTTTGAGGAATATTTTCGTGTTAAAGTATTTTGGTCCAGTTATTCCCATACCTAGAAAGTCTGATACCCTTAACATGAGTGACTGAGTTTGTGAGCTGGGTTTTATGCCAGTTTTAGCAACATTCCTGTAATATCAGTGTATTGTCACAGTGATGGACTCAATAAAACAGGCTTCACTCATTGTACCCAATCTATATTGCTTGGCATGACAAACCAACACTTGGACCATCAGGTTACCACCAGCACTGGACACTACAGGAATAATTGACACAATCTGCTGACCCTGCTGGACTGACCTCCCTTTCTGCCGTCTGCTTGTCCTGGATGACCTTCATCTGCTGCTTCAGCTTCCGGAACGCCTCCGTCTCCTGCTTGATGTTCTCCTTCAAGGCCTGGATGTTGTTCACACGACCCTTGGTGTCTGATTCAGACATCTTGCCTGCACAGTAACACAATAAGCCTGAAGTCTTCACACTCACGTCACACATCAGTGCAATCATCATTATCAAATGTTAAATAAAACCCTACTCATGTTAAATGGAAGAATGCATGTGTTGCTAAACATGAAAATAATGGATCCTGACCTGAGAGATCCTCCAACGGTGTTCCCGAGATGCATCACTAATACATGTCTATACCCCACTAGTGAATTAGCACACACCTTTCTCTGTTAATTTGGAAAACTCTGTGATCTTCTTCTGCAGATCTTCCTTGAGATCATCCAGTTCTTTCCGCTTCTCCTTCTGCTTCAAGGTCAACTAAAAAAAAGACATCAAAACCATCAACCTCCCTTCAGTACAAGTCTTTCAAATTCGCTTTAAGCATTGACCAAATGTCTATTCTTCTATGTTGAGATATCAAGCAGGTCGGAGTCTGAATGATTCTCAAGAAGATAATTCCGTGAGATTCCAGGTAATAACAGGTTCCCAGCATCCTTTGCTGGTTGTATGACAATGTGTGGTGAGACTGAATGACTTAAGCGATTGAATACACACACAATTCCATTTAGAAAGTGGTCAAATGAAGCACAATATATTTAGAATTACACATCAGTAATGCACACATTATAGTTCTTCCTTAGGGTTTAGTCCCATCAGGGATTCGAACCCACACTCTCAGAGTTGGGCACCTAATCGCCAGCATACAAAGTCAGCTATCTCACCCACTCAGCTTTCGGAATCCTACAGCCTTCTTACTAAAGGCCACAAACTAATGTCTCGAATACCATCACTAATGTTTTTATATTGACTGACTGAGTTTAATCTCTGGACATTCACTGGCCTACATAAGATTTTTATATTGACCCATTTGGGGATTCGAGAATGACGTTGTTCAGAGTCAGAAAGATCACATCAGAACTATGTAGACAAAAGTAGACAGGGTATTTATCAAAGAAATTGTTTCTGATGATTCTAATGACTGCTCTTTCTGGGCCTCTTTTAAAAATGCACAAACAGGTTCTAATAATGATAATCTGAGGTAGGCCTCCTCCTCACCTGGTCCTTCTCCTTCTGCAGGATGACGAGTCGGTCTTGGAGCTCCTGGCTGCCCTTCTTCATGGAGTCCATCACCCACTCCAGCACTCCCTGCATCAAGTAATAACTCTCTCTCACAAACAGAGATAACTCATGTAGACACAGCTACACTCCCTGCTCAAATATCTCACACACAGATACTTCATACAGCCACAACTACCCTCAGTACAGATACACCATGTTTAGAAGCTAGTGGATCAAACAGAGCTGACCTTGTTAGCCAGGTTGGTTTTCCTCTCCTCCTCGACCTTCTTGGAGACTCGTTCCTTCTCCTCCCACGTCTGCTTCTTGGCCGTCTGGAGGTCGTGGACCAGGCCCTGAATACAACAGATCTTCTACATTCCTCGACATGACACATGATTACATTCCATATTGATGTATATCTCCATATTGAACTGATGACTTGCAAAGGGGTATTTGATAAGTCTGACAGTTTGGCCTGTTGATAAGAATTCATGTTTGATGGGATCCACCAAGCCATCTTAAAGATATGAATGCAAGCCTTTGTTAAAGTACGAGAGTTATGAGTGAGTGAGTTGGGTTTTGCACCATTTTCAGCAATATTCCAGCAATATCACTGTGGGGTCACCAGAAATGGGCTTCACACATTGTACCCATGTGGGGATTCGAACCCCGGGTCTTCGGCGTGACGAGCCAACGCTTTAACCACTAGGCTACCCCACCGCCCCTGAAACATTTGAAGTTCATCACACATTGTTATAAACCAGACACCACATCTGCCAGGGAATATCTCCATGGCAGAGATAGCAGAAGCTACATCCCACTACCCCAGGTATTCATGAGACATCTGCTTGAATAAAGTCACTGGTTTGATCCTGGGCCATAAAATATCCAAACAGGCTAACAGATGGTACTTGTTTGATGGGAATCGAACCCAGGTCTTCGGCATGACGAGCAGACGCTTTAACCACTAGGCTACCCCACCGCCCCTGGGAGTTATGATCATCTTAGCATTAAGACTGTGGAATGGACCTTTGTCCAGTTTAAAACATCAGTTAACTGTTATGATTTGGTGGGACAGGGTCAGTTCCAGTTTTGTAGCAGGTCTGCAGCCATCACACCAACCTCCAGTTTGTCCACATCGTCTTTGTTCGGCTCTGTTGCTGCTGCTATCTTATCCTTCAGCTTCGAGATCTCAAATCTCAGATCGGTGATGATGGTGTATGTCTCATCCTGTGAAACAACAGAGGTAATCAAGAACAGTTGGACTAGTAACATTGACCCACAATGCACGTCATACATATTCCCAACCGAACCTTGCATCTTCGGTTAGTGAGATCAGTCATGAGGTGGCACTGTTTGAGGCAAGAAGTAGGTTACACTTCTGCCACTTTAGTGAAACCCATCAGCATAGTGTTGATAAATCAAAAATCAAACAATTATCAAAGACTCATCTGTAATTTGTTACAGACTATCAGGTTCAGTTCTTGTTACAATATATTACTGCAAGCCTACTGCATTTTACCAACAGAGAGAGACCCTAGAGAAGTGCACAAATCTGTACCAGATCTGGTTAGCTGAACACATGTGGGATTCTTATCAACAATGGTGAGTTACTTTGTGAGACACATTGCCTGTTTTGAAAAGTGAACAGCCGAAGATTTTGTTGAAGAGGAATTTTTTTTATAGATAGACAAGCAAGTGATGACAATAGTGTTATCATCTACACCGAAACATCGCATGTTGCAATAAAGAAGTTGTCTATCCATAAACATTGTTCCTCTTCATAATACCAGCTTCTAAATGCCACTTAAAGACGAGGATTTTGTTGAATGCATTCTTCTTTGTAAGTCCTATATAAGTTTACATTTGATACCAAGAGCCAATGAAGGTTATGTTTAGTGTCATCCATTGAGATGTTATGATAAATCGGCCAGTTAATGGCTTGACTAAGGGACACAACCCAGCACAGCAAATTCTTGCACCTTGGTGTCTGAGTCACTGATATCCACAATGCACCCCTAAATGTGACATACTTCCTTTATTTGGAAGGGGTCCTCACAATCAGTGAGTGAGTGAGTTGAGTTTTACGCCGCACTCAGCAATATTCCAGCTATATGGCGGCGGTCTGTAAATAATCGAGTCTGGATCAGACAGTCCAGTGATCAACAGCATGAGCATCGATCTGCGCAATTGGGAACCGATGACATGTGTCAACCAAGTCAGCCAGCCTGACCACCCGATCCCGTTAGTCGCCTCTTACGACAAGCATAGTCGCCTTTTGTGGCAAGCATGGGTTGCTGAAGACCTATTCTACCCCGGATCTTCGCGGGTCTCCTCACAATCAGCATCCCACCTCCAATAACTGATCTAGATGAGGTCAACAAGGAGCATATAGTTGTCTGTGACATTACCATGTTCTGAAAGGCCTTGTTCTTGACGGAGCGAGCGTACTGGGCGTGCTGCAGCGTGGCGAGGGTGTCGTGGTAGGAGGAATCTAAAACACGATTTCCAGACCAGTCAGTACTTCACAATTTGCATACACTTCCCTCCTCTGTGCCCCATGATGTCTGATGTGTGGAATAGCAGTGATGAGTGGGTACTGTCAAAATGTTGTCGCTTACAACTCATAAATGTTGAATGAGCTCTTGCCCATGCATGAACTTTATGCATACCCTACTGTCTGACACTGAGCATTATCTTACCTCACACATAAATGTCGCTTTCTGATTGGCTGAGCGCGCTCAATGTACCCCGCTGTCAATGGCAACTCATTTGGTTCCTTGTGGTAGTAATTCTTTATCTCCAATTACATTGAATCACGTATGATGTACAGAAATTACCGATGTTTTGCGAATGCAAATCGATGGAAGGGAGATAACTCTAAAGCTGTTTTTCTTGTTAGTAAAATCTAGCGATGGCTACAAAAAGATTTGTACCCGTGCTTCAAACAATTCAACAATTCAAGATAAATACGTTGTTCACTGGTCCCTCGGGGCCCATGGTTTTGATGTACCCTTCGGGCTCAGGGAACATAAACAAACATGGAGGGTACATCTACCCATGCCCCCCTCATGACCAGTGAACAACTTATGTAGAGAGCAGACAGACAAATGGTACATGTTGCTCAAGTTATATTGCTGTTTTTAGAAATGTAATCTGATCATTCACAGATTTTACCAGTATTCCAGCCTAATGATGGCAGCCTTCAAATAATCAAGTCTGGGGCATTTAAACCAGAGATTGATATCATGAGCAACAATCCTTGTGGTCAGTGTACCCTGACACACTATGAACCAAGTCACGGACTCTGATCAACTGATTCTATAATCAGAATGTCGCTAAGCCAGCAATGTCACTAAGGCTCCAATTTAGTCACCTACTACCAGGTACAGAGCTGGGGACCTATATTTCACAAGTGTCTGAACTCACCTGCAGATCCCACCAGTCCTACCATGAGGGAGAGAGAGTTGCCCCCTAGAGCATCCTGTAATAAACACACAACAGGTAAGTGGACATATCTAACACAGGTGTCTAACACTAGTGTCTTACACAAGTGTGTCAGACAGGTGTCTCAGACACAGGTCTCACATTGGTGTCTCACACAGGTGTCTTACACAGATGTTTAACATAGGTGTCTAACACATATGTCTCACACATATGTCCAACACAGATGTTTCACACAGATGTATCACACAGGTGTATCACAGATGTCACACATAGATGTCTAACACAGATGTCTCACACAGATGTCTTACACAGGTGTATCACACAGATGTCTCAAACAGGTGTTTTACACAGATGTCTTACACAGATGTCCCACACAGGTGTCTCACAGAGATGTCTCACACAGATATCTCACACAAATGTCTTACACAGGTGTCTTGCACAGATATCTCACACAGGTGTCCCACAAAAGGTGTCTTGCACAGATATCTCACACAGGTTCCTCACATCGGTGTCTAAGACAGATGTCTCAACACACACAGAGTTTAACACAGATGTCTCCCAAGGTGCCCCACACAGGTGTCTTAACAGATGTATCAATGATCACATGTCTTACACAGGTCCCACACAGGTGTTTCACATCGGTGTGATGTCTAACACATACACAGATGTCTCACACAGATGTCTCAAACAGGTATCACAAAATGTCCCCAGAGGTGTCTCACATAGGTGTCTCACACATGTTTTTACACAGATGTCTCACACAGGTGTCTCACATTGGTGTCTCACACAGGTGTCTCATTGTATCACACAAATATCTCTTTAAGATGTCTACACAGGTGTCACACAGGTGCAACAAACCAGAGTGTAACTGATATGTCTAGCACAGATGTCTCACACAGGGTCTAACACAGATGTCTTACACAGGTGTCTTACACAGATGTCTAACACAGGTGTCAAACAAAGATGTCCCACATAGATGTCTAACACAGGTGTATAACACAGATGTCTCACACAAATGTCTTACACAGATGTCTTACACAGGTGTCTCACACAGTGTTGTACACAGGTGTCTCACACAGATGTCTCTCACAGGTGTCACACACCAGTGTGTACACTGATACAGATGTCTAACACAGATGTCTTACACATAGTGTCTCACACACATGCCTTACAAAGGTGTATCACATAGATGTCATACACAGATGTCTCTCAACACACACAGATGTCTCATGTCATCAGTGTCTCACACAGGTGTCTTACATAGATGTCTCACACAGGTGTCTCACAGATGTCTCACACAGGTGTCTAACACAGATTGTCTTACACATGTGTCTCACATAGATGCCTTACACAGGGGTCACACACCAGTGTGTAACTTATATGTCTCACACAGGTGTCTAACACAGATGTCTTACAAATGTGTCTTATACAGGGGTCTCAGATAGATGTCTTACACAGGTGTCTCACATGTGTAGATATGTCTAACACAGGTGTCTAACAAAGATGTCTCACATAGATGTCTTACATAGGGGTGTCTCACATAGATGATTCACACTGGTATGTCTAACACAGATGTCTCACATAGGTGTCTCACACATATGTCTAACACAGGTGTCAAACAAAGGTGTCTCACATATATGTCTATCACAGGTGTCAAACAAAGATGTCTCACATATATGTCTAACACAGGTGTATTACACAGATGTATCACACAAATGTCTTACACAGGTGGCTCAATCACTCATGCAGGTGTCTTACACAGGTTGCTCACTCACTCACTCATGTACGTGTCTTACATAGGTGGTTCATACAGGTGTCTTACACAGGTGTCTTACACTACTGCCTTACAGGGGACTCAGGTGCTTATAGGGTCAATGAGTGCCAGTGAGTGATTTGCTATTACCAAGCTTTGACGAATATTTCAGGAATATCTTTCTAAGTGTGCTAAACATGAGAGAAAAGCCCAAAGTGTGCCAGTCTGTGACAAAGTGTGGCATCAGTAGTGAAACCTACAAACCATGGATTTGGTGGTGAGTGACCAACAATGACATTCACTGTGAATGAGGAGAAACTTATCCTGTGACAACCAGGGGATGCAACTCTGCGACCCATGGACTCGAAGTCCGCTGTGTTACCTGTAGCAGCTGTGTGATCTTGGTCTCTCTGTAGGGGACATAACCCCCCTTCTTCTTGCTGTCCCCTAGGGCTGCCAGTAGGTTCATCAGCCCCGTGGTGCTGTAACCATCAGTGAGTGATATTACAACAGGGACACGATAACACAAATTCCATTACGATGTCTGTCATAATAAATAGTCCATTTATAATACGCCAAATTCCAATCGCTAAGTGAATGCTTATGGCACTACATTATATTGCCCCACTCAACAGATCTGTGTGCACTCAAATTTCATTCTCAGCTTCCTGGGGAGTATACAAAAGGTAACATCTGCTTCAGTGTGGGACAGGACTGAAACCTTAGACACTCCATGGACTCAATCTATTTATCTGAACACCCATCCATCTTACCATGACCAGCATTGTTTATCTCTACCTGTGAGCTTGTACACAGGAACCAAATGAAGCATACTACTTTCACCTTCCTTTCTTTCAATCCAAATAGATCTGGGAAGAAATAACTGCCATGTCTTTTGCACCATTTAACCAATTATTAAAAAAATACAGTAATACTAAAACTTACCCAGAGCCAGATTCAGAGTTCTTTGTGTCAGTACCTTAAATTGAGAAGAGGTGAGGTGGGGTGAAATTGGGTTTAACGTCGCAGCTGGAGAATATTTGGCTCATATGATGGCGTGTATGCGTGTATGTCCGACTGCTTGTACTAGCCCAGACTTAAGCTGGTTTTATAGTGCTAGCCCACTGAGATACCATGCAGCGAGTGAAGCATGAATACCCCACTCAGACACATTATACTGACTCGAACAGACCAGTCCTTGTTGTACCCATTAATGCTGAGAGCCAGGCAGGTACCAACAAGTACCGTATGTTTAGCGTCTTTTTGGTATGATCGCGATTAGGGGGGATCGAACCCGCGACCTTCCGCTCTCTAAATTGAGAAGAGTATATGTTCATAGCTGCAAACTGGAACTCAGCACAAAGTAGACAAAGAAGTATGGTTAACAACATCTATAGTAATGCTGCCATTGTTGTTATATTGTCTATACAATATAATTCAAGAAGTTTGGTTTTGGGTTTTTTTAAAGTATTTTTATTCATAATTCAAGAAGTTGTTATTCAAAAACCTTTTGTGTTTGTCATCTGTCACCTTCTAATAAATGCCATGAAACATTTGACTGACTGACTGGTTTTACCGCTGCTTTTAGCAATATTCCAGCAACATCATGGCGGGGGACACCAGAAATGGGCTTCACACATTGTACCAATGTGGGGATTCGAACCCGGGTCTTCGGCGTAACGAGCCAACGCTTTAACCACTAGGCTACCCCAACGCCCCTGAAACATTTGAAGTTCATCACACATTGTTATAAACCGGACACCACATCTGTCAGGGAATATCTCCATGGCACAGAAAGCAGAAGGTACATCCCACTACCCCAGGTATTCATGAGACATCTGCTTGAATAAAGTCACTGGTTTGATCCTGGGCCATAAAATATCAAAAAAAGGGTAAAAGATGGTACTTGTTATTACCTATTAAGTATACGGTACTGTGTCTGAGTGTGGTATCCATCTTAAATCGTGGTACCATATCTCAATAGGCTTCCACAATAAACCCAGCATGGTTTTACACACAGACACACAGACAGACTCTCTCTCTCTCTCTCTCTCCTCCTCTCTCTCTCTCTCTCTCTCTCTCTCTCTCATTATCTCTACACACACACACACACACACACACACACACATGAGTCAGGTAATAGACTGTCGAACATAACCGACTTATGTCACAGTGTATTATCGATCACCTGTATTAGTGGACAGATCTACATCGCTATATGACCATTATACACCTGTATAGGCGTGAGCCACGTGACGTCGTTATGTCAACTATGACAACAACATATACCTGTACACATGACAGACACTTGTTGAAATGTCACTAATATATACCTGCGTTACATGGCTGGCGATGTATCTAGCATAGCTGAATTCGACATTCAATAGCTTATTAATGTTGATAACATGTTATGGAATATATTAATTATCAATAGATATTCATCATCCTTGGTATATTTGATATCAGAACCCTTGCATTTCACGATTGTAAAGTAATCTCTGTTCAAACAAATACGGTGAGTATGGAACTCATCTGAAATTCTGAGGAATGGCACATGGGTGGCGGTAAGTTCCCCGTTCAGCTTGTGGAAGGGAGTGGCAACTTCGTAGGTGAGTTCTAATTAGTGATTTTTTATTGAAGGGAACTTCAATAGGGAAATACGTGTTCCACTATGTTAGCAAAGAAGAAGAAGACAAGCAATAAGCATGGAGTCAGGATAAGGAAAAATATCATTTTTCCAGGTTCTTGCAAGTAGTGCCTTCAAATCTTCGCCATAGGAAGGCTAGTTTTACATGTCGGTAGTGATATTAGTGCAATAAGGAATATTACAATCATGAACCACCACAAACAGTAGTCCACAATGCCATGGCTAATGAGTAATTATGTCAGCACTAAATAAACCAGTGGTTGACAGCATGAGCACAAACACAAGCCTTCGGGATGCAGTGACAGGTCGAGGTAACCAGGTGATCCTCATATCAGAAGGCTTTATCAATTAGTGAGTGAGTATGAGTTAACACCACTCCTTCCAGCTACATTATGGCGGGGACTCCAGAAATGGGCTTCACACATTGTAACCATGTGGGGAATCAAACCTGGATCTTCAGCGTGACCAGTGAACACTTCAACCAAACCACCCCACTTATACAATGAGCAGTAGGATAGTGGGATGTAGCGATCATGCCTTCATATCCAATCATGGTGTATATATCCTGACCGCATAAACTAAAACTCACCCGCCAAGTCAAACCGCGTTGATGACAGACTTCACACCAAGTTTGCTCGACTGTTTTTCCTTCTGATGAATGCCCACTGAGAAAATGGAATGAGCTCTGAAAACACATCACAAAATAATGAATCGTTTACACAAGTGCCAAATTATGTTGATCCATTGACCAAGAACCAGTACATTTCTCCAGCATAACTATCATCATTATTGTGTTTGACCGAGTTGTGTTACTTTGACAAATATTCCACACACCTGGCCCGGTGAGTCTTGATGTCTGCGCGTTTCATCTTCCTGGCACGAGTGCCCTGGTCATACATGCGGTACAGCTCCTCGGCTGACTGGACTACCACCTCCGACAACTTCTCCACATAGCTGCAGACACAAACACACGTCTCACAGATCAACATATATTGATGACAGCTGCTCACACATATACCTAATGGTCATCACATTGTCATACAAATCTTTCTCATTTCTTATTTATAAATGATTTGATTCAATTTTGAAACCTGGGAGACATATATTTTGTTCAATTTTTTTTCCAGTTTTCTAATCCTAAATTCTAAACATGAAATCACAAATCCATCAGAAGTTGTTTGTATTACTAGTCATGTTACTGTAGTCCAAAGTTTCATATTGAGACAATCCCTCATTCATGTGTGAGTGAGTGAGTGATTTTAGGTTTTACGCGACTCAAGCAACATTCCAGCTATATGGCGAGGCGGTCTGTAAAATGCATCGAGTCTAGACCAGACAATCCAGTGATCAACAGCATGAGCATCGATCTGCACAATTGAACCGATGACATATGTCAACCAAGTCAGCGAGCCTGACTACCTGATCCTGTTAGTAGCCTTACTTGCGACAAGCATGGGTTACTGAAGGCACATTCTAACCCAAACCTTCACGGGTCTCATTCATGTGATCTTCCATGATATCATACACAAACAGATGTCAAGCTACTTCATCTGCACTGAGTACATGCAAAGATCAAAAGAACTTACATGCCCTTCTGTACATGTTGACGGACCTCCATCGGCAGGTCATGAGGGTTGAGCAGGTCAGTCAACTTCTCATCTAGTACCTAGAAACAAACACCACAAAGTCAACTTACATAAGCAAGGTAAACACAAGACTACTAGATCAACACTCAGACTAAAATGTCAACACACAAGGCAAGGTCAACACAAAGTAGGCTCAAGGTCAACAGCAGAGACAACAGGGTCAACAGCAAGAGAACAGGGTCAACATGCAGAAGTAAGGTCAACACACAGATGACAGGGTCACCACAGGAAGCAAGGTCAACACATGGAAGTAAGGTCATCACAGGAAGCAAGGGTCACACGGAAGTAAGGTCACAACACGAAGCAAGGTCAACACACGGAAGTAAGGTCACAGGAAGCAACACATGAAGGTCACAGGAAGCAAGGTCAACACATGGTCACCACAGGAAGCAAGGTCAACACACGGAAGTAAGGTCACAAATAATGGAAGCAAGGTCAACACCACCACACAGGAAGCAAGGTCAGGGCCAAAGGAAGTAAGGTCAACACATGGAAGTAAGGTCATCACAGCCACCAGAGTCAACACATGGAAGCAAGAAGCATGTAAGGTCATCACACATGGAAGTAAGGTCAAGGGAAGTCAACACATGGAAGTAAGGTCACCACAGGCAAGGTCAAGCACATGGAAGTAAGGTCACACACATGAAGAAGTCAACACATGGCAGGTCATCACAACAGGAAGCAAGGTCAACACATGGAAGTAAGGTCAGCAATAAGGTCAACACATGAAAGTAAGGTCAACACATGGAAGTAAGGTCACCACATGGAAGTAAGGTCACCACAGGAAGCAAGGTCACCACAGCAAGCAAGGTCGCCACAGGTAGCAAGGTCAACACATGGAAGTAAGGTCGCCACAGGAAGCAAGGTCAACACATGGAAATAAGGTCATCACAGGAAGCAAGGTCACCACACAGACTACAAGGTCAACACACAGGTAGGTCAACAGAAACACAAAACCAATGTCAATACTTGGAGCAAAAGACTAATGCAAATAACACAAGGTCACACAGATAATAAACAGACCCCAAGGTCGAAACAAACACCAACTTTCTCCCTCAAACCTACCCAAGCCCACTGATGACATGGCCATGAATTGAAGAGGTAGCTCATATAATATATTATTCAGTTACTCTTTAATTCTTCATTTGCGCATGCCAAAACAACATAAGATTTGTCTTACGATATCTCAACACTCACCTCCAGGTAGGACACCGTCACCAGGTAAGATTTCTTGCTGCCGTCTGCCATCTGTTTGAAGAGGGAGTCTATCATCTGTCACAATGATAGAAGAAAACATTTTAGTCAGATATATTATAAAGTAACATTCAGCAAATGCAATGAGCCATGTTTGTTATTTTTATTGTAAACTGATCATAAACTGTGAAATGTGCATTCACATCATATAGATTTCATGAAAATACTGTCTTCCATATTTACAAAAGAAACAGCTGCATGCTCACTGTTATCATATAAAATGTTGTCTAAAATTGAAATGGCATCAGTTGAGTCAATATCTCAATCAGGGAAATATTATATAATCAGCTAATGTTCATGCTTGGTAGACATGCTTTGACATATCTTTTGAAGATATTCTGACACGTTTGGTGTTTTCCCATAGTTTCTAAACAAAAACTGTAAATCACTAAATTTTTGTGTCACAATTTTTTTCAAGTACCGACCAACAGACGTTTTTGCGTCATGATATTTTTGCCTAATTATCAAAAATAGATTGCAACTGAAAGTTCTACACAATGTAAATCCAATCACGTATTAAAGGTTGCCGCTAATCTTGAACTGAGCTCAGTAGAGTACTTCCGTGTGCATGCAGTCAGTGGTGTATTCCTAAAAACAACACACGCTACACAGGCCAGATCAAAGGGATTATATTAATTGGAATGCCTCTATCAAATTGTTGACAATGACATCACACAAAGCTGTTGCTCTCCCGGATAAGTGTGATGAAACCTATCCACATCCGTTGGATGGTGTCGACCTATCAAACGGTCTCTAAAGAAACAGAATATGTGTTGAGTATTGACGCCTGTAAGTATCCCTTGTTTGACATGTGACATGTGAATACTAGTAACGGTAGTAATTAGTCTTCCCCCAAGTTGTCGTCATTCCTTAATTGATGTATTGTCTAGATCTGTTGTTGATTATATGAACTGGTGAATGATAAATTGCATTTTGATATTTTTACGACCTCAAGTCATTCGCAATTTTCTCCAAAATATCATGCTTGCAAAACTTTCGTGATTTACAGTAATTACTCCACGAGAAGAAGAATGTTAACCAGCAACAATTACGAGAGGTAATGACACACTCCCCAACCTTCTCACCTTGGGTGTAACATCCTAAACAACACCTTACACTAGTGCTTTAGCCTACACATATTATGTCACAGATGCATTTACAGTCAAACGCTGCTGTGTCAAACAGTGATATGTTCTTGGTGTTTTTCCCGTCCGTGGAGTTCAGGTCACAAATCAGTCGAAGTTATGCAACGTTGGGCGCAGAGAGTCCGTGGATGGGTGACCGTGTTTGGCAGCTTGACTCTTGAGAGTTTCTACGACTTCAGTCCTGCCCCACACCGAAGCACATGTAATACATGTGGTCTCACCTTTGGCATGTGAGTTTGTTCAAACTTGCCTCTGTTTGCCCAGCAGAAAATGGGTACTCGGTGGGATAAGACATGTGATTATTAACCTTATAGCACCTCACAGGTAGCTTGGGTTATCCGGGGAATAATAATCAGATGTGTGTGTTAGCCCTTTGAGCATGTGCTTAGTACATGGAAAAGGCGCATTTAAATTCACAATTATTATTATTGTTTCATTATTATTATTACTTCCTGTGTTGAAGTAAAACATGGGTCCTTGTATATTCCAAATTTGGTTATTGTTTTGCAGTTGTATCTAACCTCAGATAACCTTAAATGTTTGTTTGTTTTCTCGTTTAATGACACTCGGCAATATCACACAAAAGTTTTTTTCAGCTTTGACAAAATGATGTTCGACTGTATGATCTTTAGATTCGTTATATCAATCTCACCTCAGGTAAAGTGGTTTAATGTCTCAACTCACCTGAGGTACAACACCTGGATCTTGGTCACTTCCCTTCAACAAGAAACTCCGCCCAGATCCTGCCTAACAAAATACTTTGATATATAATATGAGATACATGACTTGTGTATAGTTTCTGACATGACAGATTGTAGTCAGAGCTGATTCTGTCCTCAGACCATCATCTATGACTGTTGAAAGACTATGATCTGTCATAACTGATCTTATTTATTCATTCAAGTCAAAGGCCACAGGCCCATAGGACGTGCATTAAAAGCATATACACATTTTGTTATATATCAATATATAAATGATAAATAAATTTCACAAGGTAGAACTGTCATAACATTCACCATGATAAACCCAAGTAAATAACATTAGGAAAGGAAACATATTTAACATAAATGACAATGCAATACACAAACATCAAGTTGCAGAAATTCTGTCACTTAAAATTATTACGCCATTATTTCAGACCGTAATTTAATCACACCTATCAATGTTTGAATTTTAATAAAAATATATTTGTGCACACGTGGCACAGAATTCAGCATTTTAATCAAACAATTTAAAAACCTCCCAAATCATATGATGGAAAGTTCTTCCTAATAAACTTTATTTACCTGCCTATTTTACCATTCTTTCAAATTATCTTTTAATTCTTACTAATATAGTACATAACTGAGAATCTTGTTTCAACAGGACTTACTGCTCCAAAAGCCAGAAGGCTGACATTGTAGCCTGCTAGGGCTCTCTGGACGAGCGCCTCACATTTCTCCTGGTACAGTTGAAGCTGAAGAAAACAAAAAGATAAACAAGATAAACTAAAATATCTTAAGAAAATTATCGATATTTTGTTTCTTCATATGATTTTCTTAATTAGTAAACAGCACTTGTTGGCCTCCTCACCACAGTTTAACTGAGGATATTTTTCATCAGCCACATTGATCTTTTCCTTCATCTTCCATTAACACTAAAACTTGTCACAATGTTAACCAACAAATTAATATTCACATAGTGCTATCAGTCTTTCCATCATCCTATTGTGTTCACAAATCATTTTTACGAATATGATTGTGTTATGTTTGTGTATAATTATGTTTTTAAACCATGACTTGACATCTGTTATCACATACTCAGAAGAAGGTTAAAAGATTCAACCTACATTCTTTGCTTCACTGGAATATGCAGCATCAAAAGAAAATGAAGATTCCTGGAAATAAAATTCAAAAGTACCTGCTGAATGTACAATGACTGGTTTTCCAACAAAATCTAAAATATCTTTCAATCAACTTACAATTACAAATTCAAACTATATTTTTCATATATTTTCAGTGCATAATTTTATTAAGAACAATTCCAATATAATAAGAAAACTTTCTTTTGTAAGGCTCTTACAAATGATTTAATTGTGTAAAGAAATAAGCATTTGTTCAAAATTATCTGAAATAGGTCATAGTATCACCTTTCCAGCAGCATCAACTATTACTTTGTCCCCTGAAACCTTGATGACAGATTTGGCACCTTTGCTCTGCTCGTCTTGTGTCAGTGGACGACACCTTGCCAACACCTTCACGTTCATGGATTCAGACGGCTTTAAAAAATATCATCATCACATAAAATATTATATTTTGTCATTGCAATGTCAAACACTTGTTGCAGTAAGGGACCGTTCATAATTTATGGCTAGGGGGTGATGATGATTTTTATGGAGAACCATGTACAATGTGAATGCCCCCTAAAATTTATGTACAAAATAAGTGACCCCTGCATGCCATGTACAAAATCAATGACCCACCTACCCTTCCCATAATTTCTAAGCATAATTTTAAACATATTTTATGTACGCAGACCCACCTAATACATGTGTACAAAATTGATGACTCCCCTAGCTCCCAGAACAAAATGGGTGACCCCCATTAAAATCATCATCACTAGCAGATTATCAATCGTAAAATCATTAAAATAATGCAAATTTCCAGATTAGTATGAATAATAATTAATCGAAATGATTTTAGAAAATATTGTACGATGTAAAATACAAGTAAACACCACAAAATTATGAAAACCCTGAGCTGTATAAAGGTAGTCTCTATATCACTTTGTACCTCTTGTCCGGATATTACATTTTCGGTGTATAAAATGTGATATCGCACAACCATTAAATATACTTACATTGGAACAATATATTATTATGATTCTCACAAAATAGGTGAAAAAAACAACATATATTTACATTATATTATTCTAACGATATATTTATTCAAAAAGTATATAAACAAAGTATAGTGTCTTTTCCAATGACTGAACAATACGGAAAAGTTGGCACGACACTGTCCTTTTCAGTGTCCAAGTTTTGCACGATAACTTCCACTCTAGTGATCGCGGGTGAATTTATCATGACCTGTAAATGATACCTTACCATTATGTCGATGTTGGTGTTCTACTTCTTGTCTGTGTCCAATCCTATGTACATTTGTTGTCAAACTACCTTCTGTGTTAGACAACATGCAAGTTTGTCATGGTATTTGCGTAAATACGCATAAAATGATGACGTCATCATTAGTGTATAGAAAACGCAGGTAACCGGGACAAACCGTATCAATTGCAACATTTCACATTCAAGTGTTAATTGTCTGCTCATTATGAGTGTACTTTCAGTGAATGTAAATTGAAATATATTTTCCTGTAAATAGTTTAATATCTTGAACAATATTCTGGACGAACCGTAACGGGCGCAAGAAAGGTGTGCGTAAAGTGATTGTTACAAATTATGCCATTTGACTGCCTGACAAATAAAAATGATGTGTGTTTGAACTGAGCTCAAGAGAACAGGGCCGTTGGAGAATGTTTAGCCAAGTGGTTTAATACGATTTGAGGCCCACGCGTCACACTGCCAAGGCGCAATGTGTGTGAAGCTACGTGCCAAACACACAGAGGCGCCCTTGAAATATCAAGAATCATGAAACGCCAATACTTACGACATGCCGTTTTCACATTTATAAAGACTGACTGACTGACTGAGTTTGGTTTTTACGCCGCTTTTAGCAATATTCCAGCAATATCACTGCGGGGGACACCAGAAATGGGCTTCACTCATTGTACCCATGTGGGGATTCGAACCCGGGTCTTCGGCGGGACGAGCCAACGCTTTAACCACTAGACTACCCCACCGCCCCATTTATAAAGAAATAATAGGTATCATCAATATCAAGATAAATATATCTTGAATGAAAATAGAGATATATAGAATTGATTGAAGATATCTTGAATTGAATTTAATACATCTTGAGATAATTTATGTACACTATGATCATAACTGTTTTATTGATAGCATAACACATTTAGAGTTTTACGAAATATGTTCTTGATATCTCTATAACATTTTTGGATATCAGCAATTCTAATTTGGATATCTTCAATTAATTAAAGATGTCTTCAATCATTTACAGATATCTTAAAAACTTATTGATATCTTTAGATAAAATACAGATATCTTTAAAACTATTTAAGATGTCTTTACTTTCTTAATAAATGTGAAACGGCTTGTCATATGTATGCTTGGTGTCGGGAAACAACCGTTGTCATTGGTTAACTATTCACTATATTCATATAGTTTTCAATGCAACTAAGAAGGTAAATATATTTCTGACTTCTTCTTTCTCGCGTGGGACGGTGGGGTAGCCTAGTGGTTAAAGCGTTCGCTCGTCACGCCGAAGACCCGGGGTCGATTCCCCACGTGGGTACAGTGTGTGAAGACCATTTCTGGTGTTTCTCACCATGATATTGTTAGAATATTGCTGAAAGCGCCGTGAAACCAAACTCACTCACTCCTCTTTCTCGCAGGTCACCATTTGGAGAGCAACAGAACAATTGGCTGTCTACTGTATGTGTTACACTGTCAACTCCAAGACTGAAGCAGATGGACAATAGAAACGGCCCGGGAACATAACATGTACATTGTAAAGATTGTCTCCAAAAATATTCATGGCTTACTTAAACTCGCTGTTTAATGCACATGAAAAAATTGAAAGGAGGAAATATACATTTTGCTAGTCAGAGTTGTCTCCCCTAGACTAGACAACCCGGGGATCACGACGACGCTTTTACAACGCCCATTGAAACAATGAAATCAGTTTTCAGTTGTTAGGATATCCGTGTCTCTGTGACTGTGTACTAGTATCTGTTTTGTCACTATCTCTTTCTCTCCCAAAACCATCCCCAACAGAAGTCATTTGCAAACATCACCTCAAATATCGCCCACTGCCATTTCATAACATTTCACCTTGGGTGTCTAACAGCTGTTGTAATTTATACCGAATAAAAGAACTGAATTGAATTGAACCTTGGGTGCGCACCTTCAGCTATCACTTTCAACCATCACCCACAACCATCACATACAAGCATTCTCACAACTATCACCCATAGCCATCACCCACACACCCCAATGATCACCCTGATCTATCACATTCGACCATCACCCACAACCATCACATACAAGCATTCTCACAACTATCACCCATAACCATGACCCACACACCCCAATGATCACCCTGATCTATCACATTCGACCATCACCCACAACCATCACATACAAGCATTCTCACAACTATCACCCATAACCATGACCCACACACCCCAATGATCACCCTGATCTATCACATTCGACCATCACCCACCAACCATCACATACAAGCATTCTCACAACTATCACCCATAACCATGACCCACACACCCCAATGATCACCCTGATCTATCACATTCGACCATCACCCACAACCATCACATACAAGCATTCTCACAACTATCACCCATAACCATGACCCACACACCCCAATGATCACCCTGATCTATCACATTCGACCATCACCCACAACCATCACAGCACAGAACGGACTTATATACATCAACAGGGATTAAGTAATAATAACATGTAGGTATGAATCAAGGGGATTAACAACAACAACAAGGCATGGTGGTAATAATTTCGTGACAATAGGAGGAAGACAATTGTCTGTGAGGCAGACACAAAAATAAACATGGCTGATAAGATTAATTTGCAATGATAGCTAATTAAGCTACATTATTACCCACAAACATTACCCCAAACCATCGCACACAAATATTACCCACAAGCATCGCCAACAAAGATAGCTCACAACCACCTCCCACAAATATTATCCACAACCACCGCCCACAAATATTACCCACAACCATCGCCCACAAATATTACCCACAACCATCGCCTACACATACTCCCCTTAAATATTACCCACAACAATCGCTCACAAACATTACCCACAACCATCGCCCACAAATATTACCCACATCCATCGTCCACAAATATTACCACAGCCATCGCTTACAAATATTACCCACAACCATCGCCCACACATATTACCCACAACCATCGCCCACAAATATTACCCACAACCATCGCCTACACATACTCCCCTTAAATATTACCCACAACAATCGCTCACAAACATTACCCACAACCATCGCCCACAAATATTACCCACATCCATCGTCCACAAATATTACCACAGCCATCGCTTACAAATATTACCCACAACCATCGCCCACACATATTACCCACAACCATCGCCCACAAATACTATTCACAACCATCACCCGCATCCCTCACCAACAAATATTTTCCATAAACATCACAGTCAACTATCACGTACAACAATTGCCCATACACATCAAACACAACAATCGCCCACATCCATCACCCAACACATATTACCCATAGACATCACCGTCAACCATCACCGACACATATTACCTACAACCATGGCCTTCAAACATCACCCACAAATATTACCCATAGACATCACCGCCAACCATCACCGACACATATTACCTACAACCATGGCTTTCAAACATCACCCACAAATATTACCCACAACCATCACATATTACCTACAAACCATCGCCCACAAACATCGTCCACAAACACCACCCACAAACATTGCCCACAACAATCATAGGTGTCTACAACATCTATCAACTACAGCTTTCTAGTCCCCCTTCCCCCTTCTTGCCACTCCCTTTTCTCTCACTTCATCTCTCTTCCCTCATCTGTTCCCTCAACTTATTTTTTATGTTGCTTACAGAGCATCATGTAAAATACCCAGAGCTCGAATGTCCCAACATTCATTCACTTAATTACTGAAAATTCATCCTATATCTTATTTCTCTGAATAAAGCTAGTGTGTATCAGTAAATCTATGTCTGGACATAAAAAATATGAAACAAATATTAAAATCGATATAAAATGTCCACTCAGTCTTCAAAAGGCCATTGGTTGCGCAGATCGATGCTCATGCTGTTGATCACTGGATTGTCTGGTCCAGACTCGATTATTTACAGACCGCCGCCATATAGCTGGAATATTACTGAGTGCGGCGTAAAACTCAACTCACTCACTTACTCAAAAGGCCATTTTGTCCAACAATCATTGTGTGTTCGTGAGTGAGTAAGGTTTTTTGTCTGTTTTAGCAATAATCCAAGATATGGGCTTCACACTGTTTACCCATGTGGGGAATAGAACTTGGGGCTTCAGCGTGACGAGCGAATGCTTCAACC